AAAAAATGCCCCCTTTCCCAAAACAGGGGAATCTTACAAATAAATCAGTATTTGTAGAGCAGGGAATGGTCGTTCATGCAGAGACAGGAACAACACTTTATAATTCCAGTATTTGGGAAGCTGAAGCAGAGGAATTGTCAAGGGATCAAGGACAACCCAGGCTACAGAATGACAATTTGTCTCAAAAAATGTAATGGTAAAGAGCTGAGGAAACCCTCAGTTGTTGAGTACAGACTTTCAGTAATGCCGATGAGCCTGTTAGTACTCTAGTCGGCAGTGTGAACCTGGGAGAGCTGGCCTGAAGGTGGGGTAAACCAAGGTTTTATGCCACAGCCAACTTTATTCAGTGCATCAGACAATTTATACTCTAAGGGCTGAAAAGAGTCAGCTAAGTAAAGTGTACACAATCACAAGGACAAACCGCATGTGGCATATCAACAAGCAACAATAGTCAGTTGTAATCAATAGTATAAGTTAATTTACTCCTCTCCGATACAGGTGGGAAGGGTGCAGAAGCACATTCCAAGAACAACCCATGTTATGAAGGACCAGAGGTTTCAAGAGTCTTGTTTACTTGGAGTTTTCCCACAAGGTCTCAGCTCCTACACAGCTTCACCTGTGAACCGTGTCCTGACTCCTGAGTTAGATCCTTGACCCCTGTCTCAGTCACTGTTCCAATGCTGTGAAGAGATACCGCAACCACGGCAACTCTTATGAAATAAAACATTTAATTGGGGGCTTGCTTACAATTTCAGAGCGTCAGTCCGTTATCACCATCGGCAGGCAGAAAGCTCAGTGATGCACGTGGCACTGTAGCTAAGAGCTACATCCCAATCCAAAGGCAGAGAGAGAGCCTGGACCTGGCATCCCGGGGTTTTGAAATCTCAAAGCCCACTGCCAGTGACACACTTCCTCTAAGGAGGCCACACATAACTAATCCTAATTCTTCTCAAGTAGTGCCATTCCCTGATGACTAAGTATTCAAATATATGAGTCTGTGGGAAACCATTCTTATTCAAACCACCACAGGACCCATGGGGTAGAAGGCAAAACTGTTGACTCCGCCCAGCCCTGTCCAGTTCCTAAAGTTGTCCTCTGGCCTCCATATGGGTGTTGTGACATATTGCCCACAATATTGCACACAAACAGACACACAATTTAATATAATTTAAAATTTTAATGAAGAAGGCAATGAACAGGAACAAAGTATAATAATATGTATGTGTGAAAATGCCTGCCATAGCTCAGTCAATAAAGTGTGTACCACTGAATCTTAAGAAGCTAATTCTATTCTCGATGCTCGGTATTGCAGTTTGAGCCTATAATCCCAGCGTGGGAGACCAGAGCAAGAGGATCTCTGGAGCTCATTGGCTGGCTAGCACAACGTAATGGGTAAGAGGTCCTAGTCAATGAAGTTGTCTCAAAACAATGTAGACAGATGGCTTCTGAGGAAAGACGCCGAGGCTGACCTCCGGCCTCCACGGGTGTGCACAGGAATATGGAGGAAGGGGATGCTATAATGAGATTCATTACTTTGTGTGCTAACTTCAAATTTAAAACGTGTATATATAAAGACCAGGGGCGGAGTGATGAACTCCTTTAATCAAGGCACTTGGGAGGCAGAGACAGGTGGACCTCTGAATTCGTGGCCAGTCTGGTATACACACACAGTGAGTGGAGGGTTAACCTTACAGGTTTTCCACTAAATTTCCAGGAGGTTGAGATTTGTTAGTTTGCTCAGGGCTGATATAGTGTCAGTACTCAACCACAAATAAGGTGAAAGAGCGAGCATTAGAAAGAAGGGACGCTTTGAGACATCCTCACGGTGCCTAGAGAACTTAAGTCCAGACCGGAGGACCCTTGGGTGCTGCGGATGTTCCTCCCTAGGAGATCTTCCCGCAGCTCCGCCCACGGCGTGCAGCGCTTGCGGGGCGTGCCCTGGGGCAATCCCGGACCTCGCCTGGCGGGGCGGGGCCGGGCGGAGTCAACATTCAGTCCAGGGCTTGGCTCACCTCATTCACCAGAGACGGAAGTGTCAGCCCCGCACTCCCCCGGGTACCA